AGTGGTTCATTGCATATTTTTCATATTTTTATTGTTATAGTGAATGTTTGGACACAAAATTAAAACTATCCATAAAAATTGCAAGCACTGAAACTTTCAAATGTCTAGCACAAGTTCACTATAAATATGAGCACACGATACATATATATGTAAGTATATATTAATTCATGTAAATATATACCTTGAATATCAAATTCGCCTTCGACATGAACTTGAACTTGAACTCGACAAAAAAAAAAAAAAGACACTCGGTCAAAGTAAGAAGAGATGTGTAAATTTAACTAATGAAATGAATACCTGAAGAGGGCAATGAACACTAAAAGCCATTCCCTACTAGGCAAATGTACAAACATATTTTTATGTACATATATATACATACATTTAAATTTGTGTACATATGCAAATATATATGTAAATAAGTATATAGACTGAAAAAGGCTACAGTAAACACAAATAAAATTTAATACTTTAATCACACAAATATGTATGTATGCAGAGACCATAAAAGATACAAAAACGAAATGTATGTACATACGTATGCATGACTGAGTTTTTGTTGCTTTAATGGCGGCGCAAAAATTAAAATTCAAGTCGAAAATAAGTGAAGGAGTTGTGCGTGGAAAAGGAGGTTGTGAACAGCGGGGCAGCTTCGAAGTGAATATAAATGAAAAATACATACATACAGGTGGCTCTATAAAATTTAAATTAGCATGTAGATACGCATACATATGTACATAAATAAGGGTGCCACACTCTCCATACAAAAAAAAATCGATACGGTTTTCACTTCGGAGTTATAGAGTTTATTATATTTTAGGATTTCCAACAAAATATTTTTCGACAAAAAATTCGACAAAAATTTTAGATTACCGCTAATTTCTTCATGGTCCAATGATCGGATCTAAACCAAATTAGTTTGGGCCAACTCTGAGGTATTTTTTTCTTTTTTTTAAATATTATTATTAAAAAAAAAATATATATTTATTAAAAAAAAAAAAATTAGAAATCGGTTAGCGTAGTCCAAAGTTGTGCGGCAACATCATACAAAAAAAAATATTCCAACGAATTGATATCCTCCTCATTTTTTTTTGAAGCCGGTCAAAAAATATTAAGAAACACCCACAAAAAAACAGTTTTTATAAATACAATTAGTTTTTAAAAATATATCATAGTCAATATAAAGTCGGCCCTAAAGTAGTTTGCAGCTTTTTGACAATTTTTTTAATGGATTATCGGTCAAAAAAGCTGCATCTAACTTTGAAGTTGACTGAGATTTTTGGAGGTATATAATTTCAAGTCGTTTTAAATCACATAAATCTAAAATTTTTCCGAAATATTTTGGCAAAAGTATAATAACCGCAACTCATTTTGGTGAGGCACCCTAATGTATATACATTGGTATGAAACAGAAATGTGTGCTCCTTTGCACCAGTATATGTAAATTTATTAAAGTAGCAAAGAAGTGGTAGAGAGGCGGGCGAAAGATACCGGAAAGCGCGTTATATCAAACAAATACATACATACATATGTATGTTAAACAATAAAAAAGAAGTTAAATAAGAATAAAAAACCAAAAAAGAAAAAAGAAAAACAACATCCATATGCGCAGAAATATTTGATTGAAGAATACAAAAGATAAGAAAGAGAAGCCAACTAAACGAGCTAACAAAGCTAAAAACTGGAAATGGAAGATATAAAAGAATAAAAGTTGATGAAATTATGCGTAAATTAATACTAAAATAAAAAGCGAAGATGAAAAAAAAAAACTTTTTGATGGATGTGATCACACAAAAATCAGCCAAATTACCAGAAACAAAAGCAAGCATGAAACAACACCGAAATAAATAAAAAAAAACACAGCGAAAGATAAAATCGAGCAATTTAAATTTAATTTTTTTTTATAAACATATGTACATATCTACATACAGACAAAAATTTGGTTTTGATTCGAGCGTAGATATGGGACTCAAAAAACAAGGCGAGGTAAATTTCATACAAACACTTCGCCCTCCCTGGGTTTTTCTGCACGATGAAAGGGCTATAGCCAGGCAAACCAACAGTTAATGCCGGCAAATGAATAACCCGTTAATACATACATACATATGTATGTACTTATTTAGCTTTTTGGTGTTAATAAGGGTAGAAAGCCAGTTGAGTAGAGCGGCTCTTGTTTGCGCGTACGAAAGGATGATGATGAAACACATTTGTAAATGTTCCGAGCTGGAAATACCGAAAAATTTTGGAAAAAACAACACTTCTTTAATCTGATTATGGTAAAAATAACAAATGTGTATATGTACATAATTATGTATTTTATAAGAATTTACACTAAGCTTTGTTTTTAGCAGCTCAAACGCGTATGGAAATTTTTATATAAGAAATCTGAAATGGACTTCAATATCAACGTTATGTTGATTTAACTTGGGTTCGTCAAACTGATCTCGCTTAGCCCAAAACTAGTCGCTGGTACGAGGGGAGCAGTTCCCGCCCGCAAGTCATTTAAGCGAATGAAGCGAGGTTCTTTCTTTCACGCGTCTTTCTATGTTCGCCACATGCCACTGCGTTTTGAAACTGACCTGCGGATAACGTACTCTCGAGCTGTCGTTCAGTTTCCGTTTACTTGTTTGTTCGGTTTTATGTACATCTTCCTACTTCCTATTTACATAGGCCTTTTACCAATCCCCGTTCACCATACTAGGATATTGGTACCATCGGACATTAGGTAGGTATTTCAGTGTTTCAGTACGAGAGTCTGGTGGAGAGTTTGTACCTGCTTCATTCGGTGAAGATATTCTCGGAAGTAGCCATGACCGGAGAGAAATAGCGTCAGGTGAAATCGACTTCCCCGTGCGGTCTTTCAACCATGTTTCAAGGTCGGCTATCAGGGTGTGCGTCCATTGACCTTTTGTGCTCGCATTCCAGTTTTGTTGCCACTGCTGGATTAGTTGCTCGCGTGCCCTTGCTGCAAGTAGCTCAATTGGCATGACGGCAGAAATAACGGTCTGCAGAAGCAATGCGTAGAGCCCTTCTACGCTCGACCGAAGACATTTGAATCCGGTATTTTTTGACTTTCAATGAGTCTGCCCATATTTCTGCCCCATACAGGAGCACGGACTGGACTGATGTCATCGAAAGTTTCCTACGGCATGGCTTCGGGCAGCCCACGTTCGCTATCAGCCGGCTTTGAGCCATCGTGCTCTGCGCAGCTCTTTCACATACTCCATGAATGTGGTGCTCCCAGAATGTGAGTTTGTTGTCAAGCTTCACCCTAGGTATTTTGTAGACCCTGAAGTTGTCACGGGCTGAGGTCCGACCATCATGTTTGTAATTGTTGGGATCTGTTTCTTGGTGAGGAGCACGATCTCTGTTTTGGCAGTAGCCAATTGCAGATCGTGATCGTTAGGGATGTTAATTTTTCAGCTTTTTCCGATCCCGGGATTTTCGGGTTGTCGTTATCACAATTCCATTCACTACTTTACAACAACTTAAATCGAAAAAATGTCTTCTATATTGTTTGATAAGCTCTCCTACCATAAAATAAATAATAAATAAACGGATTTGAGACCTACTTTTTTATTTAAAGTGGCGTTTTTTATTTTTTCTCTCTGACATCAGGATTTATTTTAAAGGATTTTCTAATTTCAAAGATATGATTAATTCCAAAAATTATTTAAAAAATTCAATGCAATGTAGAATAAAAGTATGGGTACCAAATGTAAGAAATTTCATTAGAATTAAAAAAAATAATAATTTGGATTCACAAGGACGAATAGGTCATTTTTTAAGCTGATGAAGTTAAAAGGACGAAATTCGAGCTTATATAATTCCTTAACACGTAATTTTTTCAAAAACATATATTGCGAAATTTCAAGGATACAATTTTAAAAAAGCATTTTCAGTCCCATACTTTTTTTCTAAGCACATTTCACTGAATTTTTTTAGATAATTTTTGAATTACTGACGCGTCAAAGTGAAAAACTTAAAACACAATTTTACAATATTTGGCCCATGGTTTCGCGAATATATTGACTTTTGTGTGTAAAATTTACTATCGCAGGGTGCTATATGTATAATGAGCTAGACATTCATAAAAAATATTAATTATTAAATAATAAAATAAATATAGTCAATACTGGTCAAGAAAAGTAGTTTCTATTATTGCCATTAGTGCAAATTACAAATCCCGAAAATTCCGGGATTATTTGCCAAGAATCCCGGGATTTTCGGGGGTCTCGGGTTGTACATATATTTTCAGGTCTTGGTATGTATTTAATAATACTTATGTCCATTATGAAATCAAAGCTATTCGGGGCATTACGCACTAATTAATGCTTCTCTTTCAGCTGTGATTTATTTTCAACTTCCAAGCAATACAAACAGCATTTCTTTCTTGTTGAATAATTTCAAAACTTTATTACAATTTATTTGTGATGACTCTGCGGAATGTGTATTCGGTTGAGATTTGTATGTACGCGAATATATACACAAATCGTTTGTAAGCGCACAAACTTTCCCAAAAAAAAAATATCTTTTTTAATAACAAAAGAAAAGCAACGAACCGATGGCTGCTACAAATCAAGACAGCACATAAATAAATCAAAAAATGTTCATACATATATGTACATAAGTGCATATGTATATATATATACATATCTAAGTATGACTAACCGGTGTAGATGCATACATACTATAATATAACGCTGTCTGCCAGCTATCAGATACACATTGTTCAAATCCACTAAAGCCAATAAAATACTCACTCGTATATCGTTTGTAAGCACTGCATAAAAATTAACTGCGGCTGATGGCTAGCAGAGCAGCTTTTTCATACTACATACCTACTCGTCGTATTTGAAGAGCAAAAATCACAAAAACTTGAAAAGAGGGTACATACTGGTATGTAATTGGAATGAATACATAAATATTTATGTGTATTCAATTGATATGTACATATGTGTAACCCAATATTGATTATTCGAAAACCAAAGAAAAAAACTTACCTTTTGTCTTCCAGCATTAATCGAGCGCTTGTTCCGACAAAGAAATTTGTTTTAGCGGCGGCAAAACGTTAATGTGTGCGACGACTAAGCCACTAAACTCTAACGCAATGACGGAGGTGCTAATTGAAATATCCATATTTCAGCCATCTAAAAGACAGACATTGGACTAAATATGTTCGGTTGATTTGTAAGCACTTATGTATGTAGAAAAGTTGCGTGACTATAGCTGGACTGGTGGTGGTGCGTGCGGCTAAAAATTGGTTCGAAATTAGAAAAACCGCTTTTGGCTGTACTTTTACTAGATATCTCAGTTGAGGCGTGATAACTGTTGGCTGCTACTTATTGAGCTAGTTTGCTTGGATTGAAAATGTCAGAATTTTTGGGCGCTTTTAGCTACTAAGTAGCGATGGATGGTTAATGGCGGCTGCTTGATAGGTATAAGTTGGCTGTTAATTGCGTTGGCGCTTAACAAAATCACATACAAAAAACATTCAAATACATTATAGCACTAACACTGAGGAGACACTGCTTTAAAAAACAAGGAACACTAACACACAAGCACTAAACGTATTTATATACATGTTTGAGTATGTAGATATGTATGTATGTACATCTACTAGGTATGATTGTAAACACTTAGAAATTGTAGTAATACTTTCCTACACTTGAATTGGATTTGATTATTATTTGTTTAATTTTATTGTTGTTGTTGTAGCGATGATTCAATTCCACTGCCACTGCCACTGCGACTACAATTCTTAATGTATTATTTTGTTGTTGTTTTTGTTTTTGTTGCTGTTTGAGAACTCTTACGGCCACTCGAATGCCACCTTCAATTGTTTTAAGCGCTTTTTGCGCAAAGCTGTCGCTTAAAAACGCTTATGTACACACTCGCACACACACACACACACGCAACGACGTCGATTATTTTTGCGATTTTTCAGCGGAACGCCGGAAATTCTTGTTTGCTTCGGAATATTTAAATACTTTTTTTTTTGGGCAACACTATTTTCATACACAAATGCATTTATTTGAGTGTACTATAGATACATAGTTAGTATATAAATTTTTGTTGTTTTTACTTTTCCAAGTAATTTTCTTTCTCACTTCACGATATCTCGCAACACACTGTGCCACTTTTTAGCGTATATAATTTTCAACACTTTTTTTAAGTCTTCTTATGAAAAATCATTATTGTTGCCATTCTGACAAATGCATTTGTTGCAAATTTATTCCTCAACAAAATTCTTCATCTTTTTTTTGATCTCGCAAAATCTGCGAACACTACTACGCGCACCCAACGAACGATCTTGCATCAAGTCAACGTCAATTGATCAACGCACGCCAACTGAATTTGCCGCAAGCCGCATTGTGTCCACTGTACATCCTACATTCGCGGTACAACAAAAGTCGGAGCGAGCTATGAATGGAATGATGAGAGACGATCTACAAGTGAGAGAGAAGAGAAAGAGCGTAGATTAGTAAACGTTTCGCAGATTGTAGAGCGTTTATAATTTTACATAAATTATACATATACATATATTATCAAATAAAAGCAAAAAAGAAAAACCGACAAAATGACAGCGGGCTGCGTAAATTAGCCAAACAACAACAGCAAGAACAATAATAAATTAATGTGTGCATATATTTTTATGTGGATATGTACTAATAACAAACAGCGCCATTAACAAATAATATTTGTTAAATAAAAAAAATTTGCTACAAAAACAAAATTGCCATACAACGACTTTGTGACTAGGCAAATGAACTGGTCGCAATCGCTAGTCAACTTGGCAAAGCGGAAAAAGCGCTGTAATTTATGTATTTATTAGCTGTTATTGTTATTTGCACTTTTTAATTCGATATTAAATGCATTTTTTTTTACTTCTCTGGTTTATTTTCTGAGATCATTAGTTAAATATGTATTCAGATACAATTTTTAACAGGGAACGTAACTGTTATGCTTCTCTATTATAAAAATTCGTTATTTTTCACTAATAATATTTTCGATTAAAAATTAAGAAAATTTGAGTAGATTTTTTCGGTCAAAAATAACAGTTAATAATTGACTTTTATATTTTCGGTCATAAAAAACAGTTAACATTTGCCTTTTATTTTTTCGGTCAAAAATAACTGTCAAAACTTTATTTTAAATGTTTTGATAAACAATAAAAATTCACATTTGACTTTTATTTTTTCGTTCGTTCGTTTTATAATGAGCTCGAGGCCATTTTTTTTTTAAATGAAAATTTGTTGTTCGGTCAAAAATAACTGTCAAAACTTTATTTTAATCTTTTGATAAACAATAAAAATTCACATTTGACTTTTATTTTTTCGTTCGTTCGTTTTATAATGAGCTCGAGGCCATTTTTTTTTTAAATGAAAATTTGTTGTTCGGTCAAAAATAACTGTCAAAACTTTATTTTAAATGTTTTGATAAACAATAAAAATTCACATTTCACTTTTATTTTTTTGTTAAAAAATAACAGTTAACATTTTACCATTATTTTTTCGGTCAAAACAATTAAATTTTGCTTTAGTTTTTTTCGACCACCTTCATATATTTGACTTTTATTTTATCCGATCATAAATAACATTTAACATTTTACTTCTTATTTCGTTTATTATACGATTAATGTTAATAGTTTGCTTATCATTGCATAAACGACCTATAATTTTTTTATATGTAGCAATAAAACGTTTCTTACTTACACGCAGATGAAATAGCGATTGAATTTTTACTTTTATTTTGTATCGAAAAAAGTTAAAATTTTAACTTTTATTTTTGATCGGAAAAATAAAATCCAAACTTTAACTTTTATTTTTATAAATAAAAATAAATCAAATTTTAACTGTGTATTTTTTTTTAATTTTTTTTTTGTATTTACTTATCAAAAAAGTCTAAAATATTCATTCATATAGACAAATTCTTTCCGTCTGACATTTTGAATAGAAATTTCGAAAATAACTGTTATTTTTAATCCCTCATCTTGAATGAAATTACGGCAATGTTTTTCCTCTTAAGTGTTATTAGGAGTTCCATCAAATGCTGCACCGAACCGTTGTGATGTTGAGAGATAGAACATTTCACCAACCTATTTTTACATGTCTTAAAACCGTTCCGTTCTTTAGAGATCCCAAACAACTTATTCAATGAAAGTATGTCAAAACTGTCCAAGCCTTTGAAAAAATATTCTACCAGAAATCTGAAATTCACTCGTCTGCGTCCTTATTTCCCGGAACAAAATCATGACCAAGACCTAGGAGAGATTGACGATGTACTGCTGATGAAAATTTAGTGGTCTTAGCTTATCTACAATTAAGATGAATTACCCATGCTTACTAGAGGACGACCGTCTAGTCACTACATTTTGATCAAAACCAGGAGTCAATCGTTTGCATGAAGCATGATTGGCCGTCAAGGAACTTTACTTATGCTTGAATCAAGCGTTGCCAGCGATTGAAAGAAAGCTTGTAAGGTACAAGCGGTTGACGAGTGTGCTGGACCATAAAGCCCAATTTTGATAAAGCAGTGCGTCAGTCTGTGAATTTCAGAGTATGGGGAAGCAATGGCGCACATAAATTTTAGGTCTTCCAAATCCATGCCAGAGGTCAGGTGCCTCAATGTGCTGAAAAGTCTCTGACTTTAGAAAACGCTTCAAGCATATTTGTACCCTTCTGTTCTTGGTTGGCCCTTACTAACTGCAGTAGAAAATACTCTTTTGGTTCCGTATGATGCGTTATGTTAAGTAAATTTTCATGGGCCCTTTTTATTTTATAACACTGCTTGGACGACCGTCATAGCTTGGTTTTTCCGCTAAATATTATATCAAGCGTAAGATACTTTAAATTTTCTGGACTCCATAGCTACAGATGGCTTCCCTATCAACAACTTGGCTTCTGTAGCGTTCTTTTCGGCATGGGGACCGCATGTTGGCATAGTATAAACCAGCAAACATCGTCTCAAACAACTGTCCAAAATCTTTAATTTACTATAATACTCCCTATTCCAAGAATTTGTTCCTATAAATAGCATGATTATACAAAAATTCATAAATACATATTTATGTATAAATAAACTTGTCAGCGCACAGCAACAAGTTAATGAATGATCACTTGTTCCTAATAATTTATGCAGATGTTCGGCAAAAATTCTTGGAAAAGAAATGAGTAAACAAAAACGTAAAGCCATAAATTAATAAACAAATAAATGTGGAAAATCACTCTAATCAACGCTAATGCCCTACAGGCACATCGGCACGGCGAGAATGCAGCTTTGAGCTTTGATAGAGCAAAAAGCTATGTACACACTTTCTCAATTAAATTTGCTTCCGTAAATCGATAAACCGAATATTCATACAATCATAAAAACCTTAAACTTTTTAACTGAGTTCAACACAACCTTCATGAATCAATTAAAAAGTAGTAACATTTATTTATTGCATTATATTAGCTGTGTTTTTTACACGCTTATACATTTACGCTTAACGTGTAAAAAAAAAACAATCATCGACAATTTCCATTTCCAAACAAATAATTTTGATTTTATCGGCAACTAAATATTCATAAGCGCACATAAAGTTTGTCGGTTTAAGGCCCGTTTACATACAACTTTGGCATTGCGTTGGCTTTGGCGTCGCTTCGACACCTGACTATGAATATATGCATTTATATGAAAGTCTTCACATAACCAAAGTTGGGCAACGCCAACGCCAACACAATGCCAACTCTCAAATTTTCGCGCGCGTCGTTCGTCAGCTGTTCCAAACAGTTAAAGTTATGAGATTTAAGTTTCTTTTTAATCAAATTCGGGCAAGAAATATAGTTTCTAATGCAATTATTTATATAAAGTTTTGATTTATCTGCCGCTAGTATGTTAATTTAGCGACCACAGTATTCTCTGCTAAGCGTTCATTGTAGCAAGCACGGGCGTTTCGCGCGCTACTGTCAAAGCGACGCCAGCGCCAACGCAACGCCAAAGTCGTATGTGGACGGGCCTTTAGAGCTCCATACAATTTTTAAACGCAGATACGTATGCGTGTAAAAAAAACACGCCTATTATTGAATTTGCAAACATACTTGTATAAGTTATTTTCATATTTATAATTGTTTATCGAAATTTCTGAGCAAGTTTTAGAATTTCAGCACTACTTCGCTGCTGTACTCATTACATCGCATGTATATGTACATATGTTTGTATGTTTCCCTATCTACTAATTATAAACACACTTCTGATAGACAAAACTTTGTTGCCCCGAATTCCACTGCGAGCGTTAAAAGTGGGCTATGACACAAGTGATTTGGCATTAAAGTGAAATCATTGCGATTCACGATAAAAGATTAGTGCCTGAAATAATTTATATTTTATTAGATTCTTGTATATACATATGTACATATATATATTCATACGTATATAGTACATATGTATGTATCTACATATGCTTTGTGATCACTTTGTTTCCCAATTTGATTGCGATGATTTCATTTGGGGCGTTTTCCAGATGCTTTATCAAACGTTGGGTTGACGTTGGGTAATTGATGAGTTTCGGCAACAGCTGGTTTTCATACATTTTCCGAACTAACAGAACATATTTAAATTCTTAAAGAACTAAATAAATTAACAGATTTTGTGAATCTAAATGATTTTGATTTAAGTACTATAATAAAATCGAAATGCATAGTACTTACATAATATGTAAGTACATATATAACTCAGAAACAAACCTACTTCTTGACCTAATTCCTGCCAGAACAAGTCATGTTAAGCCTTTTTTTAAAGAAGCTTCCGCCTAGCCAATTTATCAACCATGCAGTTTCCTAGGCAACCTAATTTGGAAGTATCTAGAGGCAACAAAGAAAGAAGGCAGACACTCTCCGAGCGATTCGAAGAGCCTCTGTTACAAAGTAGTTATGGAAACCCACTTATTGAAGGATGTTAAACATTAAGCACTCAATACCTACGTCCATATAGGTGAATAGGACGAGCTCTTGCTTTACTTACTTTTGTAACTAAATCTCGGTAACCCTACTTGCGTTCATGCGTAGTGCCTAGAAATGAGAGCCAGGCCCTCAGAGTATCCTTACAGTTTCTCCAGTGCATCATTTACGAGGACGACTTGCAGAAATGGCGACAGTACACCTCCTTGCATGGTGCTTATCTTCCACTCTTCAAAAGATTTTTCTATGAACAATTATATTTATGGCAGAATCCACTGATCTCGCTCAGCATTCGCAACTGGGACATGGAGATTTGGTCTCAACTAAAGAGCGAAATACACCACACAAGCGGTTTGACAAACCAAGCGAAATTTCCCTTTGCTTCAAGCCATTTGTGCTGTGTATGGGGGTGTTTGAAGGTTTGACGGCGGTTTGTCAAACCTTCAAACACCCCCATACACAGCACAAATGGCTTGAAGCAAAGGGAAATTTCGCTTGGTTTGTCAAAC